TACTCAAATGATTGTTTTGAGGGGAGCAACTGTCACACCAAATAGTGATTTCCGATTTTTCCAGAGCATACACATCTAAACTGTAGAAACTTCTTTTCCATTCGGACATAAACAAATAATATGAAGAAACGTCTTTACAGATATTTTTATGTGATTAATCCGAGTTATGCAATCAGTGTCAGTCTAGATTTGGAAAACTTTTGGATTAACTTGGTATAACTTTTTTCTCTGGATTATGGAAAGTACGGAAGACACATGTCATGTTCTCCCTTTGCTTTATTTTTGAACATAACATTAAATTTTTAAGTGTTTCTTAATGTTGATTTGAATCAAACTTGTTTAAATCACTAAAGTAATGTCTAACTGAACAGGTTGTTTTGGTGTAGCTAAGTATGTGATGAGACCCATAATAGTAGATCATAACATGTATTTTTGTTCTCTATACTCTTTATATTTAGCAGTTTTAGTTGAAAAGCTCAACTTTTAATCCCAAAATGTTGAGATAAAATTTTTGGTATACTAGACTATTGGTATCATTATCAGCAACCAAAAATTAGCAAAGTTGATGCTTTTAGATTTATTTTCTGGTAAAAATCACATTTTTAACATTTTTAATGGTTCAGTTATGACAACTTTTATTGACATTCTCCATTATTATTATTAACTTAATATCTCTTATGATATTTTTTAAAATCTTTATGTTTGCAATCAAAGTTTTCCACTATTTTTTTCTGTATTAATTTTTCTTATAGCTTTAGAATCTTTATTTTTCTTTTCAATTTTTGTGAAATAGTTAATTCTCTTGATGATCTTTATTTAACAATGCTAATTTCTGATGACTTCTGAGATTTTCATGACTAAAACTATTGCAATTTCAACAAAATTGATTTATTTAAAACACTTGTCAATTGATTTTGACTTTTTTAAAAAAAGTCAGACATTTTTACATAATATAAATAGAAGATTTATGTGTAAAAATTTATAAAATAACAAAAAACATTTGTACTTTGTAGTTTGTCGCAAAACAATTGCCCCAGTTGTTGTGCTGCCTTTTTATAAAGTTTCACACAAAAAAAAATGTTTTTTCTTTTTGTTTTTTGTATTTTTGAAACAAAAAAATATTATTTTAATAAATAAATTTTTTTTTAATTTTAATAACTTATATTTTAATGATTTAATTATAACTATAAATTATAAGCTTGATTTCTAAAACTATAAAAAAACTATAACTATAAATTATAACTTGATGTCAGACCTTTGATGGAATAATTTGATGAAAAAAATTCAAAAATTCAAGCTTTTTACCATTAGACATTTTAAATGTTACACTCTCATATTAAAAAATCTAATCAGGACAAAAAATACAATAAAAAATGCTAATGTTTTAAAATTATTTAATTTTTTTTTTATATGATTAAGATAGTATAGCATTTACAAAAATAATTTATTTTTCTGCATTTATTTAACACAAGTCAAAAACATGTTAATATAATTTGAAAAACAGCTGTAATACACTCAAATAAACATTTTTTAATATGTTTTAAAAAATGTTGGATAAGATTTGGTGTTTTTTTTATATACTTACTGAAGTCAGACGTAAAAAATAAGGTAAAATAAAGTAAAGTAAGGTATCCATATTATATATTTAAATAATTATAATAAAGTTTAGTTTTCTTCGTTTATTTTCCACAATTACATTTTTTTGTTAGCTTATACAAAAATACCATGGTTATTTTTTTTAAAAAAACCATAGTTTTTTTGTATAAACTCCTTTTTTTTTAAATTAAAAAAATAATTTGCATTGAATAATTTAGATTTTATATCGTTATGCTATAATTTTATTATGATAATAATGCTATAATTATCTAATGCTATAACTATATATAACTAACTCATCAATAGATTGTTTTTTAATGTTTTTACTAATCCTATTTTGTTTCTTAACTTGGTTTAAACCATGGTTTAGCTTTTTATATGTATGTATATAAATAATTGTTTTAAAAGTATTGGTTTGGTTTAAATTTAAATTTTTTCAAGCAGTGTAAACCACTGGTTTAAGCAAAATGTAGAAAATGATAGACGTTTATAATAAATTGAAATATATGAAGATATTTTAAACAAACTGAAAAACACTTTTCATTTATTTATAGATGATTTAAAACATTTTATTAGAGAAATTAGAGAATCAACCATCAAAGAATCATAACCTATATACCAGCAACATAAAACTAACTTAAATAACAATTTAGAAAAAGAATACAGACAGTTTAAAAATCAGCATCAAATTTATTTTATTAAATCTTTAAAAAAACATGAATATCTTTACAACAAACACAGCAGATGTAAAAATCTCTTGAACATTTATCATGATTGACTGCAGTAAAATTATTTATTTATTCAAAAAAAATTTAGAAGTGACAACTTCTATTATATGTAAGAAGAAGAAGAAAATTCAATAAAAAAATTTGACCTATAGCCCTTCAAATCAAAATGTGAAACGCTTAAATTAAAAAAAAATAATTTTTTTTTTCATCAAAAAACCAAGAAAATGAAGTGACAAACTTTATAAATAACCATACAGCAGTTGAAGAGCTTAGATATAAATCAATGTTTTGATACGAAGAATGTATAAAAGAAAATACTGATCGCATTTTTAAAAATTAATCAAAGAAATACGCATCCACTAAAATTACGGCTGAAAAAGATAGAGTTAATCTAAATTCAAAAAGTTCGATAAAACACCATCAACATGATAGCCTTCAAGCAACTTGAGGAAATGAAATATATATTTATCAAAAGGCAGACAAAGGTAAAACTTTAACTATAAAAAAAAAAAAAAAAAAAAAAAAAAAAACAAACAAAAACAAGTTGTATTTTGATATCAAACGTCCTTAACCTCTATACTAGTATTCCAAATAAAATAGGATAAATAGGATACTAGTATTCCACATAAAATAGAAGCTTTAAAGTTCTGGAATACAAAACATAAAGGTCTAATAGATAAGACATTTACTCAAGAATTTATTTTAGAATCAGCATCTTTTATTTTAGAAAACAATAACTTTTTGTTTGAAAACGATTTATGTCACCAAACAACAGGAACAGCAATGGGTAATCATTTTGCTCCAGACTACACATGTCTTACAGTTGGGTTTTTAGAAGAAACAATACTTTTTCCTAAAATCTAAGTACTTTTCTGATCAAGATCTTAACGATATAAAACAATTTTATTGTAGATATATTGACGACGATTTCATAATCAGATCAAATCAAATGGATATAGTAAAGTTTATGTATTCTTTAACTGAAAAAGATAATTCAATCAGTTTTAAAACAGACCAAGGCAAAAAATTTAAAGAATTTAAATACTGTTTTAGAAAATTCAATTATTCTTAAACATAGAAAATAAATAAAAACAAAAATTTATTATAAACAAACCAATACACATGGTTACCTTAGTTATAAAAGTCATCACCGTTATCGCATAAAAAAGCATCTCTTTTAATCTGGTAAAAGAAAAAAATATTTTCACATCTGATTACGAAAAGGAAAAACAACGATTAGCAGAACTAAATCATAGCTAATAAAATCTAAATATCCTGAAAATATTATAGAAAAAGCTTTTCACAATACAAAACTCCAAGGACCAGCTCCCTAAAATCAATCTAAATAAATCTTTCCCTTAATTACAACTTTTTATAGCAACTTGAGTTGTCAACCTTTTATAACCATAACTATTTTTTCATAAAATCTGTCTTTAAATGAAAATATAAAGGAAGTTTTTTCAAATATCCAGCCAATAATTGCATTAAAACAACCACAGAATACAGACCTCTGCAAAGTTCTATTTATTCAAAAAAGAAATAGGATTATTTATACATTAAGGTAATAGTTATAATATATGCAATTTCTACCTGCAAGAAGTAAAAACATTTACAACATCAAGTGGTTTCATATGGAACATAAAGAGTCATATAACAATATTGCAACTGTTTTAGTTTTTATTTTTTATTTAGGTGCCCCTAGAAGACCTAACGGTCTTGTCACAGAGCACCGCGGAAGTGCATTTAACCAGGAAGTTCACGCTTCCCTCCATACCGTTATGCGAAAATATGTCCAGAGATTGTTTCGAACCTAGATCTTGCGCTGGTGAAGCAAGCTCTGTAACCACTGCGCCACGGCTGCAGTGGTTACAGAGTTAAAATGCAATATACTATTTAAAATGTATATGTTGCAATATGAAAATTAAATTCAACAAAAAACTAATAATTTAGGACTTCGTGCAAATGGACATATTTCTTGTTGTAGAACAGGACAATCAACAGATTTGATAATCATGTTTATGATTGCTATAGTGCACATAATACAATTAAAGAACCTTTCTTCCAAATTTTTGTTTTTTTGCAACTCAAAAATGAGAAAAAATAAATTATGTGTGAAAAACATCTTCATAAAAAAAGTTTTTGACACTTTTAAGTGACATTTCCTATTAAAATCAGATACAAAATTGACTTTTATAAATATAAAGATTAAATGGATAAATATCGTTTTCTGTTTAAAAATTAAAAAATATTAATTTGATAACATGAATTGCACTGCTGATGACTTTTTAAAAGACATCTAGTACTAAAAAATATTAAACTTAAATTTAGTTTATTTTATTTAATAGTAACAATTTAAGAAATAATTATTATATATATATATATATATATATATATATATATATATATATATATATATATATATATATATATATATATAAATATATATATAAATATATATATATATATATATATATATATATATATATATATATATATATATATATATATATATATATATATATATATATATATATATATATATATATATATAGTATAAATATATATATATATATATATATATATATATATGTATATATATATATATATATATATATATATATATATGTATAATTAATAACCTTTATATTGAATATAAAGGTTTTTTATTATACATACTTTTCCATTTATCTGAATAGCAAGTTAATTCATCTGTATTACTTCCATTGCATAGTAAACCTCCATATTTTGGTACTGGATTTGCGCAGCTACGGTACCTATTTTTAATACCATCTTGACATGGTTGACTGCATAATGACCATGAAGACCATTGTGTCCATCCACCATTCACTGTGAAATAAAAATTTTTATTTTCATCAAATGTCTTTATTAAACTTAAATTAAAAACATTACAAAAAAAAAACGTTAAATGCAAAAAAAACAATTACCTTGACATATTTTATTATTTTCAAGGTATCGAACATTAATACCATGACAATCAAGCCCACCATCTGCTGGTACAGGTTTGTTACAATACCTCTCTAGTCTAATAGAGCAAATACATAATGAATTTGAGCATGATTCATTAGTAGTCCAATTGCTCCAATTCCCATCTACTAAAATTTTTGTTATTATAAACTAATTATAAAAAAGAAAAACAAATAAACCCAACATAACAATTTATGACATAACTAAATTAAATTTTAAGTGTTTTTAACAACTATAATTAAGGAATCACACTAATTTATGATATTTATAATATATTAACAATAAAGTAATAATAATTCTTATAACATAATTTGATCACAATTAAATTGTATTACGCTATATATATATATATATATATATATATATATATATATATATCTATATATATATATATATATATATATATATATATATATATATATATATATATATATATATATATATATATATATATATATATATATATATATATATATATATATATAGATATATATATATATATATACATAGAAACTTTTTAAAAACAAATCTATGTAAAATCTAAATATATCAAAAAAGTTTCAAGTCTTAATGATGTAGAAATTGAATTGATTGTTAGTTTTTCATGGATTTAATGACTAAAAATATAATGGTTTGCATACACAGCAAACTGCTTCCTTAAAGGATTACTCTACAATTCACATTGTTTTTGCAATTATTTTCATTCACACAATGAAAAAAAAATGCACATTTGCAAAAGGTTCACTCAAGAATAGCTGTTTGATTTTTGACGTGTTTTAGAAGGACTTATTGAAATTAATCTTTAACTTGCAAGAAAGTCAAAAAAACTCTTCTAATGATGGTATTCTTATATGATAATGGACCAGAAAAACTATCTTTCAGCCAGCTTTATGAAAATAGTGACAAATGCTTTTAGAAAAAAACACCAATTTTATAAAAAACTGTTATTAAATGGCAATTAAGCAATCATACAGTCCTAATCATTCACAACGAATAACAATTTATTAGCAAACTTGTCATTCTGATTTTCTTATTGTAAATCAAGTAACATGTTAGAACTAAAAAACTGTAATAACTTTGAAGAGGCATAGCTATTAAATAAAAACTTAATTAAAAAAAAAAAAGTATTTTAAGTGGGCAATTTATTTCCATATCAATATTTTTCAATCAAACCATTGCGTATTACGTAGTCTACTTGGCGCCGTGTTGACTCAGAATGGCGCTGTACAAGAGATTTTTTCATATTAGTAAGGCAATACTTTATTCTATTGCGCAATTTTTCTATATTATCAGCCTTTTAATTATTCTCATACACTTTTCCTTTAAGAATACTTTGAAAATTCTTAATTGGACGACATTTTGGCACATTTGCAGGATTATCTTCTCATTACATAAAACTGATGTTTTTATCATTCATATAGTTTTGTACAGATTTTGCATAATAAAACGATGCATTATTATTATTATGTCTTATCAGCCAAAATATGTATTTACCATCAGAATGATACTTTTTGATAATTGGAATTAGTTTGTTTTTTATACAATCATTGTAGACTTTTTGGTTGATTGTAAAACCACTTTCTTTAAATATTGGCTAAGATATTCCTTTATCTAAAAAGCAAATCCAAACAAGCAATTTTTTTTTCTTCATGTTTTGCAGTGGGATTAAACTTGACACTTTTAGGTGTTTGAGAAACATCACTTGAATAATAAATATCATTTTCATTAATCGAAGAGTGGATAAATGTGAAATACGACACGTCGTCAAGGATTATCAATTTATCGGCGGAAACTCGATATAGCCGACCGCACTTCGTACGAACTGTCTCTATTTGGTAATAAGTTCTTAATGGAATCTTCTTTTTATTCTTCGGCCTGATTAAGGACTTTGTGTTTAATATTTTGCCGATATATACCTGACTGCACTTAAATTTCCAAGCTACTTGAGTTTGCAATATACCGTCTTTGTGGTCAAACATTGCTATAAGTTTTTTGATGTTCCTTTTCGTCATTATTTTAGCAATTCAATCACTTCCAGAGAGTCTCTTGAGCCCATAATTATTTTCAGCACGTCGAATAAGGAATATATGGTGTTAAAAAGAAATTTTTTAGATAAAAAGTGATCAACAGTATAATATGTCCCTTAAGATCAATTTTTCAAATAAAAGCTGTACAAACGGTCTCGGTGGACTTCTTGTTTTTATTTTATTTTTCTCTGTAACATTAAATTACTTTAATTTAAAATAAATCAAGATTAGTAGATAATTAAAAATGCTACAAACTAGGTAATAAAGCAACCATAATTAATATAAAGTATGCTGCATTACTTTGTCTTCAAAATTATTACCTTTTTTTAGTTATAACCCGTTAATAAAATATTTTTAATTGCACATTTATACTGCATGGTGTCTTCTCTGTAAATTGTAGTTTGTCATGGCAAAACATTATGTAATATTGTCTACAAAATTTAAAGTTTAAATTAAAAACACGAAAGTTGTCATTAAGAAGCATAAAATGTAATAGCGAACATAAAAGTTGCAATTAAGAATACGAGAATTACAGTTAAGAAAAATAAGATTCAGTTGAGACCATGAAAGTTGTAATGAAGAAAAATAAAATTTAATTGAGAGTATGATTGTAATTAAAAAAGGAATATCATATAGATACTCAGCATTAGGTTTTAAAGATTTTATTGTGTATTCAATGGAAGCGAAGAGGTTAGGGTTTATGCTATTGACAAACCTTATTCTGGGGTACCTCAATGTTTTACCCTTGTTCCAGATTTGTTTCTTATCTACATTAATATTCTTTCAAACAACCAAAGTAGCTATTTTTGCTGATGATTCAAATTTATACTCCTATCTGACAAAAATTCCTCTCTTTCTCAAATCTTTTTTTTCTAGTAACTCCTAACTTAATATTGGTTGGTTGCAGCGTTGATTTGATTTCAAATAAGCAACTCATTTTTCCCCATCACTTGATGTGATGGAGAAAAATGAGTTGCATATTCGAAATTAAAGTAAGACATCTAGTACAAAAAACCTATTTTTTGTACTAGATGTCTTATTTTGATTTCAAATATGCAACTGTGGGATTTGTGTTATTTATGCTCACTTTCACAATAAAACAAGTAAAAAAATATTAGCAAACTGTTTTCTGTATACTGTAAATTAAATATTACGTTTTTTCAGTTGCATTCTTAAACTGGATGGAATATAACAAGATGCTTGGTGTAATTGATGCAATTTTTAAGTTATTCGAGTTCTTTTAATTGTAATTAGCATGTTTTTATCAGCAATTTATGTTTAGACAAAAGCTTTAGGTGCTATATCTTTTATTGCATCAATTTTTAATAATTTTAAAATTATATAAAAATAAATTTTTTATTTGCTTATACAATTTTCAAAACATTTTTATTAATCCTAATTGTGAATTTAGAGAATATCATTTTAGAGTTTTTAGATCAACTCCACTCAACAGCGTTAAGTTATTTTTAGTTGAGGTTTTTTTGAAAAGTGTCTTAATATACTATTGGTTCTACCTCTAATCAGTTCTAGCTTACATTAGTTTAATATAATTATCAAAAACAACATGTCTAACAATTTTCACACAAAATATTAGAAATAACAATTATTTGACATCTTTTTACTGCCCAAATGCAATCCCTCAGAACTCTTTAAAAAAGGTGAGACTGGTAATATCACATCTCTATACTAGTCAATTAGTATTAGTATATGTTTATTGACTTAAACTATAATACTCATTCATAAGGGTTTAATAATTAGTTGCACTTGGTACAATTAGCTTATTTTAATCTGTTTTAAATTTTTAATTTTGGGCCACTAGCTATAGCATCAGGGGCCTTACTCTGAAATTTAGGTTTAATTCCATAATAAATTGACAACAAAGAAAGACATATAAGTTTGATTAAAATTTATTTAATCTTAGATTGTTTTCAAAAAATTTATCTACTGTAACTTAATTGCAACACTTAAATAAATAACAAAATTGAATAACAGATCTGAGCGAAGTTGACAAATGTATCTACGTGTAAATTAATAGTCCCAAACTAACCGCGAGAAAAAAAACAACCTACATCGTTAGCCAATTTTTTACACTCATATGGCACAAGGTACAATCAAACTATATGGCTCTAAGTAAAAAAAAATTAACCTCATGAAAACTGTCATCTGTCATCAAACCCTAATTGAAAAGCAACTTATTAAATATCTCATTTATTACTTTAAGTAACATACAATATGTTATATTGATTAGTAATGCATTTCATCTAGGAATGTAAAAAATCAGCAAAAATTTCATTCAAACCCTAAAAAACATTTTCTAAATATAACTTGGTATAGCAAAGTTTTCTGAGAATCAAAATTGGATTAAAAAACCAGTTTTTAAAACCAGTCACCTTTTTTTGAAGCATTACTAACAACTTTATAGTTTTCAAAGAAGATGGGGTAGCCCTAGGTTCAAGAAGACTCTAGGTAAATTAAGTTTTTTTATAATATTAAAAAGCTTATATAAATTAATTTATTTCATAAAACAAACCTGGACACTTTATATTTGTACATGGTAGGCGTCGTTTGGCTTCTTGTTGAGGTTTAAACAGTGCATTTAAACTGCTGTATTTATAACCAAGCCCACATGTTTCACTACATTCACTCCATGTGCTCCGTTCACCTACATAAAGGGTCATGTAACGTTTAAACAAAAATTATTACTTTTCATTAATTATTTTCCACCTATCATTTTTATGAAATAATTTTTTTTTCAGCATAAGTTTTTTTATCGCTAAAAACATGAAAAAAAATTTAATTAGCATATTAATTCTAGTAAACTTTAAAGTTAAGATTTTAGCTAATATTTTATGAAAACTCAAAAAACTTAAACTAAAACTTAAACAATATAAAAGATGTTTCATACAGTTAAAGCTAAAAAGGCCCTATCACTAATTATTATTATTATTAGAAATACTTATTTATAAATGCAATATATGTGCATTAGAAGCTTGCAAAAAAATCATCTGTTATATATGAATTGGTTAGAAGAAGAACAGTATTAGTCCATGTTTTTGTTATTTGCACTTTTTTTTCAAAATTTCATTTAATTATGTTAATTTCTCTATGTACTATATAAGTAATACTTGTCCATCTTTCTTTCATTATTTTTTGCAATAAAGTAAATTTATAAATGTTTAGTTTCTCTATAAAAACTCTGTTAAAAACTGTTTAAAACTTAAACATTGATTATCTTGAAATGAAAGTGCAATACTTTTATTTCAAGATATCACCTAATTTATCAATTATTAAGAAAATAAATTTTATGCCCTAAATATATTGAACCAAATGTAATTCAATCAACTTAGGGTATGACTACAACATCATTTGCTAACCGAAAATTACTTTAATTAAAAATTTTGTATGTCTGAACATATGATTGGTTTATGTTTTAAAATGTGCAAGACAATTGCTTATGTAATTGTTTGTTGCATCAAGTCAACAAAAAGAATAAATCAAAAAAAAATCCTGTAGAAGACCATAAATTAGTATTCTATAAACCAAAAAATGATATGGTCTTGGCTTTGAAGGACATATAATTTCAAATAAAAAAAAACTTTACTAAATTGTATTCTGATATAAATGTAAAGTGCCAGCACAATTTAACAATAACTTGTTGAAAACTTTAACTATATATCATACCTTTTGCATTAAAGTTATGCCCAAAAAGTCTCAAAAACTCATTTTTGACTGCCTCAATATTTGCAATGAACAAAAAAAGTGCACATAAAACATAGTGACATCATTTATGATGTGTGATGTTCTTACTTAAGCTATTATTGTCACTACTTTATTATCTTTACGAGAAATATATTTCAGAAATTAGAAAACCAAGAACTTGTATATACTTTAAAATAAAAAGTTAGAGCTAGCTTACTAAATTTTGATTAAAATATTTCACATTTTTGATCGTTTTTGATAATAGTCATTCAAAAATTTGTTTGATTAGAACTAATCATCTTTTATTAGCATTGAATTCAATGTACATTATGCATTAGGATAGTAATAGTTAGAAATACAGAGGGAGAATAGCCCCTTTCCCGCCAAATAACTTAAAATTTTACCACTATCTTTACCATTTAAATCCCTAATACTGGTTGCTTTGCCCCAACTTCCAAGGCTTTACTGTGTCACTATAATCCTGTAAAATGAAACTTTAAAACTGAAAGTTTTAAAAATATATATTAAATGAACCTTGAGGTTACTTACACAGAACATTTTATAAAGTTATATTTTAATTATACTTTTTTTGTTGCAGTCTTAAAACATTGTATGGGCGGCATATATCAAGCATTATTTGAAATAGTCCAGATCATTTGTTAAAAAAATTTAAATGTTAAAAACCTCAACCCAAATTCACGAGTGTGTAGATCACAAACAATCCAAATTAATAATCTTACTGCACTCAAATATGGAACATGAATCATCTTAAACTTAAATTAAAATATGATTTTTTCATTATGATTTTGATATGAAATTGATAACAACTAATAATGTAAAAGTTACTTGATCTATATCTTGCAATAAGTGAGATAAAGATTTATTTTTGTACCGACAATCGGTTATCCTTATTTTATTTCTTGTTTTTTTTTTTTTTTGATTGCTATTTCTCTTTATTGTTTTGTTTCAATTTTTTAGGATTCTTCTCTAACTGCGCTATGACGTTGCCGAATCAAGGAGGGCTATAAGCCCGGGCCCCGCAAATTTAGGGGCCCCATAAATTATATAGGACCATTTTTTTTTGTTGTTATTTTTAGGCTCTGGTATAAAAACGGCCTCCAAAAACAAAAATAGCCCTAAGAAGTCATAATCCACCACTGCACTATGAATATGGAAAGTTCCAATGCTGCTAACTTTTGAACTTTAAGAATGGATTAACTGAAACTCTAAAGCTATTATTATCTTATCTCTCTTTATTTGAACACTTTATATGAACTTTTCTATACATCTGAATCATATTTGTACTCTAAACATAGGATTATAGCTAATATTTGAATAAAAAAAAGATACTAAGAGTTTAATTTATATTAAGTTTCCTTTTTTTTTAGCTTTTTTTTTCATGTTTAGTATTAAAATTAGCAGCTAAGTTCCATAAACACATAATTTTTTCAAAAGCAATTTTTTTATATATTTAAACAGGATATGTCAAATGTACATTTGCTTTTAAACATAAAAATAAATAAAATCAATATCTAGTTGATCTACAGTATAGGTTCTATTATTTCTCTTGTTAATTTTAATTGAAAGTACACCGTACCTATTACATCTCTAGCTGTTGGAAGCTCAGATTTAAAATGTTTACTTCTATTCTCTACAAGATTACTCATTTTATTAGATAACATTTTCCTTGTTTTTTTGACATTTTAAAATACAAAATATGTTTGCTGGAGCATTCTTTTTGACCTATTTATGAAGTACCAACTGCTTTTTTATTTATCATTTTTAATAAACAAAACAAGTGAAACTAAAATCAAACTTTACCAAGCTAGCACAAAAAAAATATCATTTTTAAAAAATTACATTTTAAAAAAATTACGAAGTTTCATAATTTTTTTTCTCAAATTGAAAAAAATACATTTTATTTAAAAATATTGAAACCCTGGTACAATAAGCTTCATCCATGTTTAAATGATAAATAAAAAAAAGGTTATTTATATGAGACCTTACATCATTTTTATGGAAAGTAAAAGGGTAAAAAATTGAAAAATGTTCTGGGATCTATATGGACATCCTATAAAGTTACCCTTATGGAATACAAACGAGCACTTGGACAGTATGACTTACAATCCCTCACAAAATTCAATAACTATGATTATATTAATCTCTTAAGAGACCAATATGCTCAAGCGGTTAAAATATCAGATACAGCGTTTTTAAAAGAAAACTAAGAACTTCAAGAAACTCATGTTTTATGACAAGCACAATAATATCTTCACGATATGAACTATGTAAAAAGCTTTGAAAACATAGACATATGAAAATAGATTAAACAAATTAGATTAAATTTGTCAAGTCTTACCTTTGTTACAATAATAGCTTTCATTTTTGTTTTTACAAGCGCTATTTGTTGAGTTGCAAATATTATCTAAACTAGTGCATTCATCGTTATCTAAAAGAAGTAAAAAGTAATGTAATCTAAAGTAGCAAAACACAATAGTTTTCTACTGTTTCCATTACAAAACAAAAGAATAAAAATAACGTTACTTTTTGCTAGAAAAGCTTAAAAAAAAGAAATAAATTTTGATATGATGGTGTGGGAACAAAAGCTTGTGACCATTAACAACAAAGTTTAATATATGTTATACCGTTGTTGAGTTAATATTGATTATGTCCTAGTAAAAGTACTCTCTACATTGCTATCAAGATGTTCCAACTAACTACTTGAGTTTGCTGAGTAGGGCTCTAAAATATGAATTTTTAAAATCATTTTAAGACTTTTCACTAAAACCTCAATCAGTTCATTATGTTATTAGTCTTGTTGTTTCTTTAAAATCTTTTTCTATGGTGTAGAAAAACAATATATTATACGATGTTGTTTATAACCAGATTTGAGCTATAACCTGATTATTAAAGAAAGCTTTAAGCTATTTAAAAAGTTTTGTTTTTTTTTACAATCCTGTGTTTTTCTTTTACCTTTAAGTGGAAGCAATGTTCGTGAAAAAAATAAAACTTTATTCATACACTTATAAACACATGCTTATAATTCATGCACTTATAAGCACAACACTGTGAGCTTTACTTGTGATCTATTTTTTAAAACAACTGCTTATAATCTTTTTGTATTCACCAACCCCATTGCAACAAAAAATAGTTAATATAAAATAATATTTCCATTGTTTTTTGTAAAGATGGTTTTGAACATGAAGCTAAAAAAGTATAATTTGTGTACAATTTTTCAGCTTTTAGACAATAACATGCAAAAGCAAAGCAAACACATTCTGAAACCGAGTAAAACTTAAGGAATGCAAATACTTAAAATCTTCTGTCAACCCCTGTACTTCATTTGAGTGAAATAAAAAACTTTATTAAAAAACCAGTGTTAGAACAAAAAAAAAAGTTTATTAAAAAGAAATAAAAAAATATATAAAGTATACTAACTTTTTTAAGATGAATATTTAACTGTAATTACTACAGTTAATAAAATGGAAACAACCTGATAATGTGATCTTAGTGGTAAAGTTATATTGCAAGAAATAAAACTTAAAAACATTAAACAAAACTAACCAACACAGCTGTTGTTAAGTAATCTCCAACCATATATGCAAGTACAATTGTAACTTCCATTGATATTTACACAATCACTGTTTGTCCAGTTGCAGTATTTAGTCAACTCATTGCATTTATTGATATCTTAAAATAGTAGCAGAGCAAGGTTATGAGAAACTTTAATTTTGGATAAAAAAAATATTTTTCTTATGTTTATGAAAACTAAAGGTTAAAAAAAATAAAAGACTTTTTTTTTATTTTGTTGGACAGTGTGTTTATATATATATATATATATATATATATATATATATATATATATATATATATATATATATATATATATATATATATATATATATATATATATATATATATATATATATATATATATATATATATATATATATATATATATATATATATATATATATATATATATATATATATATATGCATATATATATATATATATGCACATATATATATATATACATACATATATATATATATATATATATATATATATATATATATAATATAAATACATATATATATATATATATACATATATATATATATATATATATATATATATATATATATATATATATATATATATATATATATATATATATATATATATATATATATATATATATATATATATATATATATATATATATATATATATATATATATATATATGTATATATATATGTATATATATATATATATATATATATATATATATATATATATATATATATATATATATATATATATATATATATATATATATATATATATATATATATATATATGTATATATATGTATATATATATATATATATATATGTATATATATATATATATATATATATATATATATATATATATATATATATATATATATATATATATATATATATATATATATATATATATATATATATATTGCAGAAGTTTTCTGCATAACTATGTCTATACTTTCAAAACAATTTAACAAGTGTTTACCAGAGCCTTGTTTGACAGCCTGCTAAAAAGCAGCTTTGTTATCCCTAATTTGAATAAGTCTTAGGAGCAATCTGAATTGTTTAACTACTGTCCCATTTGTCTTCTTTCTATCATAAGCAAGGTTTTTGAGTCTGTAATTGAAAAAACACTTAAACTTACATCTTTAATTTAATAACTTATTTTGATCATCAGTAAGGATTTTGATTTTCTTGTGCTACGGCTAATTTGCTAATAATAAGAAGCAACAGGTTTTATTGAGCATTAGATAGGTGTGGAAAAGTTAAGGCTATCACTTTTGATATTGCTAAATCTCGTGACAGTTTGGCATGGTGGTCTTCCCCAAAAGCTTTTGTTTTATGGCCTATCAGGTAATAACATTAGGATTACTTAATCCTTCCTTACAAACGCAGTAATAAAGTTGTCTTCAATGGAAAGCACTTATCTTCATATCTTATCACTTCAGGCTTTCCTCAAGGGTCTATCCTTGGAACTATACTCTTTTTAATTTATATTAATGATCTTCTAGATATTCTTACATATAACGTAACATTGCTTGCTAATGTTTTTACCATTTACTTTTGTTTTGATAAGAAGCCAACACTCTCTGATTGCTTGGAAGGGACAAGTACCCTTGAAAAGGATCTCACTTCTGCTACAGCAATAGGCTCACAGTAACTGGCGTATTTTAACTTAGGTAAAACTGAATTTTTCAAAACTAAAATCTTCCTTTTTTTATGAATGGTAATGTACTCGATGAGCCATCTACAGTTTATCTTCTGGGACTAACTTTTATTTTTGATCTTTCTTGGAAACCTTATATCAAACTGATTTTAAAATTAACAGCTGCTAAAAATACATTACTTTATCATGCTCACCACTTTCTCACTCTAGATGCTATTCTTTATCTCTATATTCTCTAATCCGTCCTTTTATGGAATACTGTTGGCGTATATTTCAATGTTGCCCTTTCTTTCTTAGACATGGTTCAAAAACAGATTTTTTTCAATCATTGTCTTGCTCTATAATCTTGACCTTTTCTCTTCCAGTAATTTTTAACTCTAATAGCAGTTGATTGCAGCCTTGTTAAAAGTGAAGTTTTTAAAACAAATTTATAAATCAAGTTGTTCGATTATTTAACATACAGTTGAAAAGTTAAATTGGTAGCAACTTCTTCTTGATTGACAACTTAATTATAGCGATTGATAATACGTTCTCAAAAAGCTAAATTGTAATTGTTTCCAGCCGTTATCTTTAGATAATATAATTTGTTATATTACTACACTAACTGCAAAATGTGTTTTTAGTAGTTATAAAAAAATGCTAATGTTTTGAAAGATCATTTTTTTACATTAACATACCAATTCATGAAAAACTACTCATTAATTCATATAACCAAATAATGAAAAAATCTTTTCCGTTTGTGTAAAATTAACAATTTGAGTCTTTTTTTTTTAGACAAGTGCTGTATTCAATAATTGTATTTAATTTGTCGTTAAATACATAAAAGTTATTGTTATCCATTTGTATTTTTAGTAACCTATAGCAAACATAAAAATACAACGAAAATGTTCATATTTTTTTATATGGATTATTAGGTTTCATATTACTCCCATAAAAAGAAAATCTTTTGAAAAATTACATACTGGGATGAGAAAATTCAGGTTGATGCATTTGATGCATTATGCAGAAAACACTGCATCTATTTTTATGTATTTTTATTTTTGCAACAGTTATTTCAACAAAAATTTAAATACATAAGAAAGCGGGCCTTGAGACTATTATACAAATTATTGTAAATGCCCAGTAAAAACTGTGGTCATAAGGGCTATTCATTAAAATAATAGACTAAAAAAAAAAACATTATGCAAAACTGACCAACACAGCTGTTGTTGTCCAATTGCCACCCAGACTTGCAAGTACAATTGTAACTTCCATTTCTGTTTACATAATCACTGTTTGTCAAGTTGCAATAATTAGTCATGTTTGCACATTCATTAATATCTGATAATAATAATAGTAAAGAAACATATAAATAAATGTTAATACACACACATCAGCTATAAAAGCAACATAAATATAGGTGCAGCATATTCCAACACCTACCGTTGAAACTTTGAACAAAAATAAATATGAAAAAATGTGAAAAAAAACTTTGTGATCAAAAGTTTCATTTTATGTAAGAATACTCAATTGATAACTTTTTTTATTGCTTATTTAATTTACAAAATTTAAAGCTTACCATAACATAGAACATTATACACTATTGAACATTAAACTCTTTGTAAAACATTTCATGTAATAGAATGGGTTGCATATTATATTGTATACAAACATGTTCACTTTTTGCAACCTTATGCAAATGCTACTTTTATTGCATTATACTTATACAATAATCTGATTTTAAAATAACTCACGTTAATAGGCACGCGTTAGCCTGGATTTTAAAGAACCGTTTTTTCGACCAACTTCTGTGACAGTCTATATCAAGTTTGTAAAAAAGTTGCATGGTATGAATTTGTTTTCCTCTTTTATTTTAAAGAAATGTGTATCAAAATATACTTACTTTTGAAAACTAGAATTATGGAACTTTATTTTTGCATGAATTTTATTAATGTAAAATTGTGTTTATTATAAATTTGATTATTGGTAACAAATTGCATGTTGTTTTGACATCAAGTATATATTGAAGAAATGCTGCATTATTTTTCAAATATAGTCTCTCACCTTTATAAACTTTTTTTCTTACTACCTGCCAATTTTCATTAAAAAAAAAGCATACCCAGACACCTTAAAACTTTACTCCAATTAGGTAGGAGTATGCTTGTTGTTTAAACATCAAGTATATATCAAAGAAAATTCTGGATCATTTTTCAAATATAGCCTTTCACCTTAAAAACCATTTTTCCTACTACTTGCCAAGAAACATTAAAAAAAAAAATAAGCCCATTTTTCTATTTCTTGTCTTCTCGGCTAGCTAACTTGTATATAGAACGTCGAAGCAACAGTACACTATTAACAGCAAAGTTAAACAACATGCCAAATTAATTGCGTGCTCTTAGACAAAATGTTAAACGAAAAGACAAAATAAATAAAGTTTTAATGGCAGAAATACGTGATCTCACAAAAAAAATTACTTTTAGCAAGTTAACCACTTAATATCTAAAAAAAAGTTTAAATCTTTAAAGAATAATGAAAAGCATAAGGTTAGACAACTCATAACTAAGCATAACACCGCTGTTTTGACAATTAACAGGTAAATTGCTAGCATGGAGAATGATTTGCTTCAAATTGAGGGTGAAAGAAATCTAAATATGCCAGAAGATTAAAAAATAAATTCATTAAAAATAAGAATAATAATTTATAATATGTTACTGTGTAATGAAACAACAGGTAACACTCCATATCTTATAAAAGAAATAGGGCATTATATCGGTGTTATTTTTAATAATATTCCTCATCGCAGTACTGTTGAGCAAACAGCTTGAGAACTTGGCAGTATTTCAGATTTGCAAGCAGGGGAGTGGGCTATGCATAATAAAAATCTTACACTTTGATTTGATATTACAACACAGAAAGTTGTCCACATTAATAGCATTAACTTAAAATCGAACGATAAATGTCTTCTTATTGCTCTAGATCAATTACCAGAAGAAACAGCAAATGAATATGAAAGTCATATATGCATACTTGTTTCGTTTTTATAAAGCATTATAGTGAGTTTTAAAATGTCCTCACTGCTGGAACAGTAAAACGTAAATGTTTGCAAGCAATTTTGAGATGGGCATTTTTTAATAAAACTGCCATAAAAGAAATGCGCATGCTTGAATTGTTTGGGAAACTCCTTACTGGGCCTTGGAGAAAAAAATTACGTTTTGGCTGAGGATGCGAAAATTGATCATGTTTCTAGTATTTTGGTAATGAAAAAAGTTTTGCTATAAGTTACAAATTGTAGTTCTAATCCAGCTGTATTATTGTTAGAAATGTTGCGTCACACACATATATATATATATATATATATATATATATATATATATATATATATATATATATATATATATATATATATATATATATATATATATATATATATATATATATATATATATATATATATATATATATATATATATATATATATATATATATATATATATATATATATAAGAGAGAGAGAGAGAGATAGAGAGATAGAGAGAGAGAGAGAGAGAGAGAGAGAGAGAGAAAGAGAGAGAGAGAGAGAGAGAGAGCATTTACTACTGAGCGATATTTTTTTTTTTTTTTGTTTAAAGAAAAATTATAAATAAGTTAACACTATTTTTTAGAATTTTAATTAAATTTATTTCATATAAAAAACTTTACCAGCTTCATATAATTTTACCAGCTTCATTCACATCATCACAGCTCTCTGGCACTCGTAGTGAAAACCTACCTAAAAACCTTCCTCAATAATCTTTTTACTATGTTTTAGTTATTGTTTTTAATTTAAATTTTTTGAACACACATTTAATTTTTTGTGTTTTTTAATATAGGCTTGTCTTGAAGTGATTTCTTATTTGAGAACAAAAATGGCTTTTCCCATATAAGCCCAAAATGGATGTGAACATCTGCCTCATTTAAATTACAAACTTCGTTCGATGGAAAGGATGGCAGAAGATTCACGAATGTATTTATTCACATCTATACATGTACTAATCAATATCTTTATTTAGATTTACTTAGCTGAATCTGCATACACTTATTGATAGGTGTATGTATAGCGAGTATTTATATATTTATATAGTTGATGCTTGTAAATAATCTTTTTGATATTTGATATAACTTTTATATATAGTTGAGTTTGAGTTTTGAGTGAAAACTTGTGTTTTATATAAATACTATTTATTATTACAAGAAAATAATATTTGTATTTTCTTTTTTTATGCTAAATTGCATTCATTTAGATATACACAAAGTAATAATCTTGATAATCGGTCAGAGGGTGCGGCCTAGGCCAAAAGGACTTCTAGCCTATCAACCTTAAGTATCCAAATTATATTTTATGGTACCTTTTTAAAAAATACATATAAAAAATGTAAAATTCATTTAAATAATATATATATTTTTCTACATTTTATATTTTCTACATATCTCCATTTTTTAACCCAATAAAGGATTTTTGTTGAAGCCCCTCTTGCGCCCTTCGTACACCCTTTGTATATATATATATTACCTTTTGTTAGACTTATCCTTTGATACCAAGTTGTGTGTATTTCAATAACAATTGACCAAGTTATGACATTTTAAGTTAAAGAAAAATAAAATTCGGTCAC